GGACGGACTTAGGAGGCTGAGACCACCACCATTATTTGCTAATCCTGGCAAGGAAAACTGTTAGTTGTAATGTTTATTACAGCTAGCAGACAAGTTCTAGACAAAATGTGACATGCTTGTATTTTATAACATTTTATATTTATAATGTTCACTTTAAAATGTAACTTTTAGATAGGCAAAAACTAGAGATTCTCAAGTGCAAGCACCCATCCATAAAAGCCTATATAACTCATGGTGACTTTCTGTTCTTTCACAACCACCATGCTAGAGACCTCCTAAGTGGTGTCTGGGAAATTCTGGAAGACCCCTTTACAGTTCCAATTTTCCTCATTAAAAATAATGGCAGAGTAACTTATATCAGACCAACCCTCTGGATCACAACAATTATAAACTCTAGAGGAGAAACTATTAAAGGCACCAGAGAGCAACCAAAAGCAGGCAGAAACTGGAAGGCATCTGAGCCTCAAAAAAAGGAAAGCAAACTTTTCCCTTTGAAACACACCACATTTATATAGCTTTCACCCAAAGATACTTACCAGTCCGTGCAGCAAAAGAGAAATAGAGTGCAAACAGAAAATGGAAGTCTTACTGGGCTGAGGAATCAGAGGCATCTGGAGCTGTCAAGGCAGCTGGAATTTGAGGAGGAAAAATCATGGAAAAGACAAAACCACAGAGGGGGTAGCCTCAAAGAATGCATACAACTACTCAGATACTTAAATGATTCCTCACTGTGCATTAGCAAGATGAAAGTCAGGAACTCAAGAGAAAGCAAGAGTTGGAAAGCTGAAAAAACTGAGCAGAAGGGCACTGGTGCCGGGGAAACAGAGGTTTGAATTCAAATCCGGCCAAATTAGAGGGGCTTGATAAATACCCTATGGCTTGATAAACCCTCATACTTTCCACTGAACCCCCAAAAGGTCACATTTTAGGATTAAGGACCATATTGCAGGACTAAGATTTGCTCCTTTGGACTAAGGGCTAACCAGAAGTAGATGTACCCTTACACAGCCTAGAACCAAGCCCTCAAAGGATCCAGGTGATCTGCCAAAAATGTACCATCTACTAGGACAAAACCCAACATTTTTTAGTGGAAGATAAATTTCAAAATGCATCACCCACAATGTCCAGTAAATAATTAAAAACCACCGTACATGTGAAGTGAAGGGAAACTGTACCCATAGTCAAGAGAAAGAGCAGTTGATGGAAACATGCCCACAGACAACCCAGACGTTAAGAACTGGCAGACAAGTACTTTAAATAACTGTGATTAATATGTCTTTAAAATGCACATTTTGTAAAGTGTACAAATCATACCCTCACCTACCTCCTACATCCCAGTGAACTTGAGCTGCCCATGATTTTTAATCAAATTGGGATTTGGAATGGTCTACATTTGAAAGCATGGAGCAAACAACTTGTAATGGTTAATGCCATCCAAACTTAATTATATATTTACACCTCCCACTAGGACAAGGGAGAGAATAAAATGTCTTATCTCTCTGTAGTGAGAGGGCTTTATTAAGATCTGACAGCAACTATTTAGCAGCAATAATTGAGTTTTATGCAAGATTACACAGGTTTTCCTTGTCTGGCATCACAATCTAATCACAGACTGATGGGGTACTTAGGCTCCTTTACGTGAGAAAAAACAGTTGAGCTGTGTACAAAATTAACCTTTAAAAGTACTCATCCTCATCCGTCAATGTGATCTTATCATGGATTTCTATAATTTCTATAAACAATCATTATATTTTAGCTGAATCAGTATCATTATGCTCTTTAAACAGATAGTCAGATATCTTCTACTTCAAAACATTTTCCATCAATTCTCAACACCCCCATAAAAGAAATTTGGCTTCAATTCTTGTCTTAATCCACTAAGCAATCTCATGAGTAAAAAGATAATGCCATGCCCAGCATGCCTGATACAATTTTTATAAATCTTCTAAGTGTTTTAATATTTATTTACTATTTTGTGAAAATGATACTTATTGAACATTCTGAATTACCTTCTTTCCCCAGTGAAAAAAGCTGGGTTTGTGAAGATATACCAAAAGGACTGCTAAGTACACATTATTTTTGCTTAAAGTTTTGCTTAAAGTTTCTGTGGAGGTTGGCACAGCACTGCAGGAATGATTGACTTGGACTCCTTGATATTTGTTCTCGCTTTTTCTACATCCGCTTATGTTGACCCCATCACTCCTGAAGATGCTCATATTACTTTTACTATGGTAGAAAAACACTCTTTTTACAAGCTTTCTTGTTCATATTGGTCTCCCAAAAGAATGGCTTCGCCAGTTTTTTTCCCCCCTTACTCTGTCTTTCTCAAGGAGCCTGTTTCTCTTACAACAGGGTTAGAAGATATCTGAGGGACCCACCCAGAACTACATACATTAGCATTCTATCCTATCAGCAATTAACAGGTATCCAGGAACAGAATTTAGGCAGCTCCATTTTCAATCAACAAGTGAGTTCCCTGTCCCCCAGCAGTGTTTCTTCCAGAAACAGGGCAAACTTGTCTCCCCGACCTTGGTTGGAGAGTTTGAGACTAGCAACCCATGAATCTGTTTCCTCCCAAAAGAGACCTTTAGTGTCCTTTCTCCTGGTAAGTTCTTTTTTTTTTTTTTTCCTTTTTGTCTTTTTTTTACTGACCAGTAACGGGATCGCAACCCTTGGTGTCGCTCCCGTACCGGGGACCGGCAACGGGATCACAACCCTCGGTGTTGCGCCCGCACCGAGCTCAGCCAGTGAGCGGGAACCAGTCTCCACATGGGATCCGAACCCTTGGCGGGAGCGCCGCCACACTCCCAAGCGGCGCACTCTCCAGTGTGCCACCGGGCCGGCCCACTCCTGGTAAGTTCTCAGAGATTAATCTCCCTAGAAATCCTCTCTCCCCATGTCAGAATATAGGCCAACGCTTAGAACCTATTTTAAATTCTCCCTACATAAGTTAACAAATTCAATTATCTCCAAATAGAACTTGCCTTTCTGTATGGTACTACCATCCTGGATACTACATGAAACAAATGAAATCTCAAAGGAGAGAACAAGTGCCTTCTTATTTAAGATAAATAGATAAGAGACATGTGAATGATATTTACTGAGCACCTTTCAGTTCAAGAAACACATTGCTGAGCAACAGCTATACACCAAGAACTTACTAGGCATTCATTAACTATACAAAAATGCATAAAGCCAGGACCTCACAATCTAGTGGGAGAAACAAACATATCAACAATAACCATAATATAATGAATTAACTACCAAAAGAGAGCTGAATAATAGAATAAAGCAAGCAGCTAAAGCACCAGATGCCACAAAGAGACTAGATTTCAGTAGCCAAGCCTAAGGTATTAAGTTCCCTCCCTTATTATCTCCAGTTGTATTTTCATTCTTAGAGGAGAATGTAACACATTTTTTCTTCCAGCTAGAAAAACTAAGTGAGCAGCCTATAATCAGTTACATAAAAACTTTCATTTCCAATGTTATCTTTATTCCAACCCAAACAACCTACTGTTAAACTATACTGTCATCACAGCTTAAAATATTTTCACTTTGGTGAAAAAAATTGTTTCTGACTTGGAAAAAGTCTTGTTTATGACATTAAAAAACTTAGATCCTGGTATCAGAATGAACTTGATTAGGAAAAAAAGTCATAATTTTATTTATGGTATTCAATTAAATATCCAGAGGGAAAAAAATGTATTGGATAAACTCACATAAAATGTTTATCAAGCAAGTACACCCAAAGCAAAGAAAAATACACCACATGAAAGTGAAGGAAAAGAAGAGAAATTTCATATTACCAAATCTTATTTTCCCAATATTTTCCGTGAAATAAACAGAATGGATAGGATACATGTTCCTATCGAAAATTTTCAATTGAGGCAGAAGGAAAAAATGGTCTGCAGGAAACCTACACAAGCTCTTTATGAAATTATCTCACACCTTCCACAAACAAACAGTTTGGCTACACTAGGTGGTTGGAGAAAAAGAAAAGAAATGCTCTTGAGCCAAGAACTAGCTTATGTCCTATCCCTCATCCTTACTCTTTTAACCCCATATAATGACAGGCACCCACAGGCCCTGTTCCCCATCCCACCCTAATCATATGTTTATGTCTTCCTTTCCTACAGACTCGCTTTCAAAACTGGAAATTTTTACACTAGAAAAACAAACTTTTATGTGACTGTAATATCACTTATACTGAGCAGAATTAAAGTTAATATCTATCTGATTTGATTTAAAAACAAGATCATTGCTAACATATTGAGGGGAGATTTTTAAGGCTATTCCTTAAACTGAAAAATGTAAGAAAATATACTCAATATATATTAACTAGCCACTCCCTAAAAACTCTTTTTTATAATAAAAATGATAATGGTAAGATAGTAAGAAGTTCTTACTAACCATTAATTTGACATTCACATCATTCTATCCTCACCCTCCACAAAAACTGCATCAGAAAAGTTCAAGAATCATTAACATTTCACAGAAGTATTAAAAATAGAGCAGTAGAATCAAATCTTGTCCAGTGTCCTTGCTGTGAGTCAAATGTGTCCCCCAAAAGTTCATGTGTTAGAAACTTGATCCCCACTGTAACAGTGTTAAGAAGGTGGGAAATCTGATTATGATATTGGAAAGGTGGAGACTTTGATAGGTGATTGGATTGTGAGGACTATGCCCTAATGAATGGATTAAGCCATTCATGGAGTAATGAGTTATCATGGGTGTGGACTGTGGTTTTATAAGGAGCACATGAGAGAGCTCTTGCAATTCTCACCATGTGATACGCTGTGTCACTATAGAGTCACCACCAATAAGAAGGCCCTCACCAGGTGTGTTTCTTGGACTGTGGATATCCCAGCCTGCAAAACTGTAAGAAATAAATTTAGTTCCCTTATAAATTACCCAGTTTCAGATATTCTGTTATGAGCAACAGAAAATGGAGTAATACAGTCCCACTGTGGAAAAAGAAAATACATGAAGAGAAAACTTACTTGCAGTATCCTGTGCCATTGTGGTAGGTAACACACATTCCTTCATTTACACAGGGCTCAAAACCATCCCGACACTGCAAGGCTAAAAATAAAACAAACTCACATTAGAAATAAGTCACTAATTATAACCCTCACATACCAAAGAAGTACAATCCAATCCATGTCAACATTCGTTCCCATATCCAACTTGATCTGGGTTTCTCTTTAGAGTTTTTATCAATGATAAGATTAGAAGAAGATGAAAGAGTTTTCATCTTCTGGCTTCTAGGAACATAGAAGCACAGTAGCTCATCCCAAAAGTCTCTTCCACAGTAACTGCTTTTGTGATCTTGAACAATACTCTTACTTCTCTGTGATTCAATATCCCCAACTGTTACATCTCTATTTCCCAATGATAGTAAAAAGATTAAAGCTATAACATCCATGACATGTCATGATCATCTTGGGATTTGGATACTTCACATGAATAATGTAAGGATTATCAATGAATGTTTAGGAAGAGCTAGCTAGAAACTAGATCACCATGACATTAACTAATTACTTAGCCTTCAGGTGAAGTTTTAAAATGGGCCACTTCAAGAAGTAATTGGAAGCATCAACAATACTCATTCAGGAAACTAAGGTTGAGAGCCTAGTATGTACTAGATACTATAGTAGGATCCAGAAAAAAAAAGGAGAAAGGGAATGTATAGATAAATGAATAAAACAAAATCTCTGACTTTAATGGGCTCACAAAAAGATGGAGAGCAGATCACGAATAGAGACTGTAAAGAAGGGGTTATCAAAGTATAGAAAATGAAAAGTTGATTTTATACATGCAGATAAAACAAAAATTCTCAAATTCTTGATTCCCTGGTTCCTTTGAAAGACAATGAAAGGCACTTTACCACCTGAGTCCTTCTCAAAAACAGACTACTCAGGAAAAAAAAAAACAGCAACTTTCTTTGATTTCAGCCAGGAGATGAAGTCGTCTACCCAAAGTCTGTCACTCACTTGCTGGCTAATTACAATATCTTGATTGCTTAGCTTTCAGAGTTGGAATTTTCATCACAGAAATGCATAGCAAGAATCCCAATAACAATAGGAAAGGCAAGATAGAAAGAAACCTAATCAAACAATAAAAATAAAAATTGAAGTTCATGAACTCTTTCTTGGAGGTTATTAAAATGTCCATCTCCTAGGATGGTTCATGTATAAATACCTGAAAGCAAAATTGAGAGGTGTTCACCTAAAAAACAAGATAGTAATAATAATAGCAGCTAATACATAGGATGTACTAAAGACCAGGTACTGTCCTAAGCACCTTACATAGATTAACTAATGCTATGATATAGTTAATGTTGTTATATCCATTCCAAGGGTAAGAAAACAGAAAAGTGACTTGCCTATTGTCACACCAGTAAATCAGAGCCAGAATTTGAATCTAGGGAATCTAGACCCATAGACTGTGCTCTTAACTAGTGAGATAAGCTGCTTCTCACTACCTGACACTTTTCTTCTCAGGATGGCCTGGTAGGTATTATTACACCCATTTACCAGAAAGTGAAAGCCCAGGAAGTTAAGTGGCCTCCTCATGGGGCACCACACTGCTAACTGGTGGCAGTAGTGGGCCTAGGACCCAGTTCTCTTACTAAGTCCAACCCATCTCCATGACAGGTATGGGGACCACACAAGCAGTCACTAGGCTGCAGGCCTGAACAGGCAGATTCAGGAAGAGGGTCATCTTGTTGTCCATATCCCACTTCCCTGTAAGACTCCAATGCTCCCTCTTCCCACACTGATAAGCCCAATGCAACAACTATAATTAAAACAGTTAATGTCAGGTTATTTCCTCCATACCAAAGTTCTCAAACTGATTTTTTCATTCTCTTTAGACACTTTTATTAGTTTCGATGAAGACTTCCTGGCTTTTTTCTATTTGCTTTTTTTTTTTTCTTTAAATAAAAAATAAAGCCACTCAGTAGGAAAGGAATGTCCTGAAAACATGAAGCAAGCTGCAACTCTCTCTCCCTGCAAGATCCTGGTGCAATGAAGGGAGTGAAGAGAGTTGAAATCCTCCTCTACCCCTATCTGTGCAACTGCAAGCAAAGCACAACCTCAAGGGGGCCCAATTTCCCTACCTGTAAACCAAACTGAGGTGAACTTAATGCCCTTGGAGGTCTCCTGTGATCCAACAGTGACACCTCCCTCATTAATAGTACATGAACAGCATGCTCGGTACCTGGGGAAATCTATCCAGGAGGACATAAGGATCTGGTCACCCATGACTCAGAAAGCCATGGGTGCAAAAAAAAAAAAAAAATCACAGCCTGTTCCTATTAAGTGTCCTGGCAAATCATTACAGTGACAGGTTCAGAGAAATACAAACAACCCAAAGTCAATATGTGGCAATTAACCTAGCAAGTAACTTTACAGCCTAGCGTTAGTAAACCAATCAAATTCAGTGACCAAAAAAAGAGGTGGGCTTACCAGGCTAATAATTAATGCTATTTGGCTGATTTGTGGGATCATGCTACCTTGAACCTTTGACATTTACTAAACTATGGTTCTCAAACTTTAGTATGCATCAGAATTACCTGGAGGGATTGTTAAAATAGAGTGCTAGACTCAACCCCCACAGTTTCTGACTGAGTAGGTCTAGAGATGACCTGAGAATTTGCATTCCTAACAAGTTCCCAAGTGCTGCTGATGCTCCGGGTATGAACAAGCACACTGTGAGAACAACGGTATTAAGGCATGAGTGTCCGTCTTAAGGAATTTCTTAAAAGCACATAATCCACTAGAGGTCTTGGATGATCTAGGTGATACTACAAGCGCATTTCAAAAAGTTCGTGGAAAGATGTGTATTATCTGTAAAGCTACCCAATTCCTACACCAATTGTAGGGTTAAGCAAATCATAACTAAAGCCAAAATGTTTCATTATTTTAGTTACACTAAGTTTTCCATTTGTATTGTCAGGGCTAGGGCTTAGGGCCCACAACTCCTTCAAGCCCATTTTACAGACTAGTCACCAGACCCCTTACATGCAGATCCACTCCAGGTAACTGGGAAAGATCCCAGAAGCCACTGGCAGACGACACAGCTCAGACCTCAGCAGTAGCAGCAGCTTACAACAGATCCAGCAGCAGTAGCGGTCACCCTGTGGCCCCCTGGGGGCGGGGAGCCCCAGGGATCAGAGCCATTCATCCTTTATACTTAAGTCCATAACCCAGGACACCTGGGTGCACATGTGCAATTACATTAGACAATAACCAGGGAATATCTGGGCACACGTGCATATTTACATCAAATGCTCGGCAACATTCTGAACATCCGAGGGGCCCTAACCATTTTCCCTCACGTTCTCTACATTACCTTTCCAATCTATTTTTCCACAAAAATTTTTAAGTAACTTCATATATTACCTGAATATAACAAAAGAAAAATAAAGTAAAATTTGACACTCATGACTTTATTCAGGAGCTATTTCTAAATAAATACTGTTATTATTTGCTGTACAAGTATAAAGAGAAGTTAAAACTTTGATAACTCGAAACCATGAAGGTGAGGCTGGCAAAGACTTCACCTCAAAGTTCAATTTACTTTTTTTCCATTGTAAAATATTTATGAAATTAGGGCCGGCCCGGTGGCGCACTGCTACAGTGCGCCGCTTGAGAAGTGCGGCAGCGCTCCCGCCGAGGGTTCGGATCCCACATACAGACCGGTTCCCGCTCACTGGCTGAGCGAGGTGCGGGTGCAGCACCGAGGTTTGCGATCCCGTTGCCGGTCCCCGGTCCAGTACGGGCGTGACACTGAGGGTTGCGATCCGTTGCCGGACACGAAAAAAAGACAAAAAGGAAAAAAAAAAATTTTTATGAAATTAAAGGCAGCTTCATATTTGTAGAGTAAAAATCAAAATGCAAAATCATACCATAGTTAGAGAACAGATGCTTAAACTAATGTTTACTAGTCACTCACAAAGAGTTACTATTTTCCCAAATTTTCATCTTAAGCCACAAACAGCAGACACTCACTAAATACTGACTGAAATCAGTCTTATATACTGTATCTGTAACTGTTTGTATATGCTCCCCCAGCCCCACCCCAACCCAAAAAGGAAAAAGAAGTAGTGAATTTCAATCTTATTACTCTATCACTTGGCAATGTGGTACAAAATTTAGAAGCCAATTTCTAATTTTCACACTGAAAGTGCAGTGTGTTTAGGAACTAGCTTTCTAATATTCAGAACATACAGAGTAGTTACTGTGGGCAGGCGCAGGCCCTGATGCCGCGATTAACAGATTAAAATGCCTGTCTTCATGAACCTTATAGAAATCAGGGAAAGATGAATAATAAATGAATAAATAAATAAAATCATTTCAGATAGTGATAAATAACAAGGTCTGTTAGAAACAAAACCCAGCAATGGGATACAAGGCAATCACAAAGGCTGGGGTGTTGGGGTGTACTTAGGTAAAGAGTCTAGGAAAGGCTTCCCTGAGAAGTATCCTTTCAGCTAAAACTTGAGTGAACAAGAGTCATAAAGATATGAGGGAAGAGCATCCCAGGCAGAGGAAAACAACAAATGTAAAGGCCCTGAGGTGGGGATGATACTGGTATTCCAGGTCTGCATGGCTAGAGATTATTAACCAAAGAGAAGAGTGACAGGAGACAGGCCAAGGAGCCAGTCAGGGGTTAGATCACAGAAAGCTGTGGTAAGGATCACAGCTTCTACTCTTAAGTGGGAGGGTAAACTGGGGGGCTGTCTGAAGCAAGGAAAACATCACAGATTTATGTTTGAAAAAAAGTCAGATTATGGGCCTGCCCAGTGGCGCACTGCTACAGTGCGCCGCTTGGGAGCGCAGTGGCGCTCCCGCCGAGGGTTCGGATCCCACATACAGACCGGATCCCACATACAGACTGGATCCCACATACAGACCGGTTCCCGCTCACTGGCTGAGCGAGGTGCGGGTGCAGCACCGAGGTTTGCGATCCCGTTGCCGGTCCTGGTCCGGTACAGGCGTGACACTGAGGGTTGCGATCCGTTGCCGGACATGAAAAAAAAGACGAAAAGGAAACAATACA